TAGGCTATATGAGAAGTTTGTAATTTAGCGTGATCATTTGGCTCATTAAGATGTCCTTAACATTATTTCTCTCTAATTTGATCTGTCTTGTTACTACCATAATAGAATTGTCTGCTTCTTCTAACAAATTTTGATTTTATTTGCTTGTGACATATACTTCCATATCAGGTTTTGGAGTGATTCTTCGTCTTCGTTGTTTAAAACAACTTCTGCAATAACTGTTGATTGGGTAGAGCATATGATTTGGCAAGCGTCCAATCATGCACTATCCAGTAGTGAGTTAGTTAGTTGAAAGGAGGATGTATTTTACATCAAATCCGATAAAATACTTCTAGAACACAATTGGGTCTATGGTCGATACTTCACCACAGTCTCTGGTATGAATCAAATCCACGATTTCCGGACTGACTAGAATATTACCAAATTACCTACCGGAGGTACACTGCAATACCCAATAAGAAGCCTTACGAATCTTTAGTAAGGACCAAGAGAGTTAAGGATTCATGAAGGACAGGGCCTGAGCATTTTGTGTATTCAGCAAGTTGTGATAGTGGTCTGTCTTCTCAGATTTCTGTCGACCATTCTTTGATCGTGTTTTAAGAATATGGAAGTCCTTTCGATAGATAGCAATCTTTAACTTGAACCCTCATCATATCGACAAAGTGTCTTCTAAATTGGGACATGGATTGAATGCAAGATATGCAAAATTGACTACGTATGCAGATTTAAATCGTCGACATTACAGTGGGGCTGGAAGTAAATGCAGCTTTATCATGTTCGAGACTTGTAAAACTGTCTACTTAGATTTTAAAAGTCGTCATCTCGAGACATGGTATCGTTAGCGTAGGTACATATATTTCAGCCTGAAAAACAGTTATTAGGCGATTTCATGGATACCAAGTGTTTATAGGAAAGCCGGATATAAGTAACAGTATTTGAGCCAGTAGTTAGTGTAGACTATTATCAGATATCAACCTAGTATTCTTTTTGGGTATTCTGATACGGAAATTGTCATCATAACTCGAAGCTTGTACATAAATGTTCTTAAAATTGCAAAGTTTTCTGTAGTGGACTTGCTGAACTATAATTCAGATTTAATTAAAGTAAATTCAAAATTTTGTGGAAAATTATAGATTTGTTCTAACATTTGTCAGATTAACATGTTTTACCGTACAATTCTTCTGTTCTTTACTATTTCTGTTCTAAACCTGAAAATCTCTCCAATATTAGAACAATACCATTTTATTTGTTTTGCAAATAATCTATTGTTTTGTGTTATTGTAAAAATATTTTATTGTATTTGTTGTTGTTTTTATTTTAAATAATTTATATGTTTTTGTTGTTAGGTTTTTTTTTTCTTAAAATTTCTTAAATTTTATTTCATTTAAATCTGTTTATTGTAGATTTTCCTTAAATATGTCTCAATAACGTTGTATAAGTATTTTCTTTTTATATAATTTGTAAAGATGATTTGACGTTTAAGGGGGGAGGGGGTCAAAAAGCATAAAAGGAATTTATAAAAAACAGATATTTAATTCCCGGCACTAAAACTGTATGCAGACCAAACATCTTGTTAATAATCAATTTCATGACAATTCTTTAAAAAAAAATGAAAGTAATAGCATTAATAATTATAAATGTTTGCTGTTATCAATAGTTGGTAAAGAGTACTAACTGGTGTATATAATGATTTGTTTTAATTTTTTTTAGTTTAGTTTAATATTGTATATATTATGTATATAGCATATTCCCTAATGGCTGTTTTATTTAATCATAATTTCTCAAAAAAGAAAACAAGAAAAAAAAAACTAAATTGTTTGTTTGTTTGGTCTTAAACATAAATTTGGTTCATGCAAACATTTAGCACAATACTTATTCTAATACAATATTTGTATTTATGTACCTTTATGTCGGTATGTAGGTTTTATTTATTTATTCATTTATTTATCTGTTTTCTTTCTTTTTTATCTCACTTCTCAAACATACAAATTCCCTTGATAGCAATAATTTTATTTTTTCTCATATTTTATTTATTTATGTGTTTTGTTTAACTCGTGTCTACTACAGGGATTCAACTGGGATAATCATATTCTACTCATTTCTATTGTTTTTTTTTTTTTTCCTCATATATTTTATGTTGTAATATTTTGCGAAGGTCTATTCAAAAGTTTTAAATTCAAAAATTTTATCTATTGAAATCAGAGTGGCTTTCATTTTCACATTGCGAATACTTAACATGTAAGATCATACAAGTACTACGGATAGTATGAGTAATATTTTTTAAATATTCATACGCCACCGTTTTCCTTAGAATTTGTTTTAGAAACACTTCCGGTCAGACCAATTTAAAGTGAAACTGTAATGATTGTATGTTGGCGATTGATTTCCAAACTATTTTCCATCGCTACTCCAAAAATTTTTGGAATCTAATAGTTAATAGTGTTTCAAATAAAACTCATTTCTCGAGCAAATCGAGCAAATTTAATTGTGTACTTGTTGATATACATCCTAACCCTCAAACTAGGAAAAATTTCTTCTAAGAGAAACTCCTGCAGGCCTTCATCCCTTCTAAGTAGCGACTATCCCGAAGAGACTTGAAACATTTCTCTTCCTACAGCATTAACGTCACCTAACAATAGCTTCTTGACAATATGAACTCCAGAGCACAGACGCATTAGGACAAGGACTTAAACTAGTAGAGGATTAGTAAAAGGGCCATCTTAATAGAGCTAAATTGTAGAAAGCATTCGACCCTATCAGCTCAATATATGTATGTAGTCTGATATCTTTAATACTCAATACGAATAGCCCAGACTTCAAGCATTCGTTAAGTATAGAAACAAACTAATAAACCCTATTAATAAACTCCTCACTTAGTTCCTTACATCTCAACAAGAACTGAAAATGATTTCTTATGTGGACGACTGGGTCATTATTCCAAGGGCCCGTAATATATGCTAATAGGGGAACAGTTATTTTGGAGTTATACGTCAGTACAAGGATCTTGGTTAAAGAAATCTTATTGGATACCTGTAAAGCTATTGAGTGATCAGTGATTTATTAAGCTGCTATAGTGTGGACACCATTACAGTGCTAGTATAAGGACTAATTACCTTCGATAAGTTCTTAAAGTGTGGACCACCACTGGTTACATGCAGTAGTATTGCCAAAAGAATCTTTAAATATTCGAGGAGAACATATAGCGATATGTAACAGATCTATACCGATGAAAACCCGATATCGGAGCAGTTTTGACACAACTGTGGCCGAAATCGAGCAATAGGCTAATCGTCTACTGGTTTCAAGAAGACTACATTAGCTTGGGATTGGGCTCTACACATAGGTATTAAACTACCCTGTCAATACCCTAGGCATTGCCAAAAGGATCTTCAAACATCCGCGGAGAACATATAACGATATGTACAAGATCTATATCGAAGAAAACACAATGCCAAAGAAGTTTTGACACAACTGAGGCCGTAATAGAGCATAAGGCTAATTGTCTGCTGGTTCCAAAAAGACTACATCAGCTTGGGATTGGGCTCTCCACATAGGTATTAAACTGCCCTGTCAATTTTAGTTAAGGTGCTCAAAAGATTTATGCCCATAAACGCTAGAAGTAGTACAAGTTTTAGATCCGGATTTCACTGCAGATTCCACAGATTATATAATCTTAGTTGGTACAATAACCGCATTGATAACTACCACAGTTTTGTGGAGTTTGGCAGAAAGCTACTTGAACTCTACTCACTCTATCTGGTTTACGGCGCATTGTGATCTTATCAATACGATATAGGTAGTAGTCTGACGATACTATATAAACCATTTTAGATATTTTCAGACTAAAATACTAAGTATTAATACTTCTCACAGATGTTTGTATCTGAAAATACCTTTATCATTTGCCTACAGTGATCATTTTTCCTGTTAAGGGCTTGATAATATGATAATATTATATAATATCAATAATATAATTCAATGATAACGGATGGGTCTGATCTGATTTGTCGACGTTATGATGTCTGAGAGATTGCGAGAAAAGCTTGTTGCAAGAAAAGTTGTCTGATAACCTATTCGTCTAAAACCATCCTAGTACAATTTGCTAGACACTGATCTCTAAGAATTACTTTGACGATTTTGAACGGATCGAATAATAAATACTTTGCAGTTAAATTCCACACCCCTCAATATCCGCCTACTGTTGTAACAGGAGCATACACTAACGGCTTCAAAAGGAGAGGTAGAGTGTCGGTTTCTTTATACTTGGAAGAAATAGAAATAAGATCAACTTAATTATTGCAGTGTTCTTCAGGCAGAAATATGAGCTATCAGACGAGTAAAAAGCAAAGCTGCTCTTAGAATTCTAGCGGATGCCTTCTGTTGTAACAAGAGCATACACTGACGTCTTCAAAAAGAGAGGAAAGGTGTCGGTTTCTTTATAGATGTAATCAAGATAAGATCAATCTATTTATTGCAGTGTTCTTCAAGTAGAAATATGAGCTATTAGACGAGTAAAAAGCAAAGCTCCAAGAGGAGAGGAAGGGTGCTGGTTTCTTTATAGAAAGAATCGAGATAATATCAACCTCATTATTGCAGTATTCTTCAGACAGAAATATCTGCTGCTAAAAGCAAAGCTGCTCTTAAGATACTAGCGGATGCCTTTACGATATCTATGTTAATTTGAAAGAGCCTGATGTTTTCAGGGGATGAAATCGAAATAGACGTCTTTACCGGTATCTCTCTTACTAATAGTTTGTCATTCCTTCAAAATTAACTGTATGAGAAACAGCAAATAAATAAATCACCTGTTAGACTCCGATATCTACCTTTCCTCTATATGATGATCAGCTTAGTAATAAGCTTTAGCAGAGAGCAAATAAGATTGATATTATCAGTTATTATAGGACTCTGAGCCTTCCTCATTTCCGAAGTTTAGGTCGATGACTACTGCAGAAGCTGTCATAGCGAAGATAAAGAATAGACACTCTTCCGATATTTACCGAGAATAGAGAGCGTTACTTCGGTCACAATCGAAATCGACGTATTTACCGGTATCTCTCTTACTAGTAGTATGAAAAAGACCGAATCAATAAAATCACCTGTTAAACCCCGATATCTACATTTTCTCTATATGATGCTCTTAGGTTAAGCTTAGTAATAAACTTCCGCAGAGAGAAAATAAAAATTTTATAATCAGCAATTACAGGACCCTGAGCCTTAGGCATTCATATCAGAAGTTTTGGTCTTGTCATAGTGAAGAGAAAGATTATAAACTATCCCAATATTTACCGAGAATAGAGAGCGTCACTTCGGTACTTTTTTTCTGTTGGCTATGGAGCAGCTATCTGGAATTAAGCTTTATCAAAGAAACCGGTTGGTTTTATTCTGGAAACAGAAAGAAATATGTACTTAATATAGACCGCTAGGGACACAAGTGAGCTACTCATGGAACCTAACATATTACTATCAATAAGGTTATCGGGGCAATATAGGTCTCGCAAATGTCCCTTTAAAGTATAATGGTCCAATGAAGAAGCATAACTCAAATAAATAACATCTTGTGCTCTCCCTCAACTTTATGTAATACATAATCTTTATTGCCAATAAGGCCGTCAAAGTGTTATAATTCAGATAGAGATCCTTCTGAAGTAGAATGGACCTCTTTTGGGTTAAATAAATAAGTTTTGCTATAAGGACGGCTTAATATTTTAAGTTCTCTTCCTCTCTTAAGTCGAACACTTTCTACTAGACCCTCGTAAAATATTGCCAACTGGCTTTTATGGCCTTACAAAAACAACAATTATAGACATCTCGTGTTGCTCGCATATTATAGCATAAAGTAACAAATCAGCTTTAGGCCTTTCGTTTTTTTTTCATACATATTCACTTTCTGTCAATATTTCATTTGAATTTAAATGGCTGTTTGTAGATTTAAACAATAGAAGCCTAAAATTTAACAACAATAAAAACCTAAAGTAGCTGCTAATATGTTTTTTTTTAGGTAAAGAGGACTTATGAGGAATCTTATAAATGATTAAATTTTAGGTTAGTAGGTATAGGATTTCAACACCTAAAATTACATTTTTAAACGTTAAAATTCTATCTTGAAGTTGAGATTCAATTTTCGTATTTCGTTAAAATATTTTACGTATGTATGTATGTATGTTTCTTTGTTTGTTTGTGTAGAGTGTATAAGGGTTTAGTGTAAATCGTTTAGCTGTATGATGTGTTTGGTATATATATAACTGTATATTGTACATAAAATATTTCCTCTTTTGTTGTTTTTTTAGGGGGATATGGCTTAAGTTATCAATATATTTTTTGATATATATTTTTATTCGAATTGTTTTTTTTTTTGTATTAAATATATAGTAGAATTAATGTCTTTATTACTGATATACATGTATATGTGTGTATGTGTTTGAGTGTTTATGTATGAGTTGATAAGTTATGTAGGTGTGTAGTTTTATGAGTAAAAGACTAGTAGTAGTAAATTTTTACTCTTTTTGTTCATACTGATTTCCTGTTAAAATTATATGCTTTTTATATGCATGTATGTATGTATGTATGTATGCTTTTTATGTAAGTATGTATGTATGTAAGAATGTCTATATGTTTATCATTATGACATGGCTGGCATTTAAAAATTGTTTATTTATGGCATTCGTAAATCTCTACTTTGCGATGACGACGATGGTGCCTCATCTGGACTGGGTGAGTCATCACCATGTGGTCGTATACGTACAATAGCACGTCGTGTATCTTCATTACGTTGCGGCATATAGAGACCGGTAGGTCCTGAATAACATGTTGTATTATTGCCGGATAGGCGTAGTTTTTTCCGTTTCACCATTAGTACTTTCGGTAAAGAGTTGTCCCAAATTTAATTGTGGTATATCGTAGAAAATGGTTAGTACGAGCATCATGGCAATGAGACCTGTAAGAAGAGGGAATTTGAATTAAAACATTTTTTGTCGATTGATATTGAATATGCTCTTGTCATAATGCTTGATTTGACGATGTTAAGATATCGGAAAGGATATAGCAAGAACTTGATCATGGTTTCAAATAATTTTAAGAAGAATAATAATGAACACTTGTAAATCATGCTTATTTGTACCATTGAATCTACGCTCCGGAACAATCTGACTCACACTGTAAACTCAGCGACAGCTGTATCAACCAAAAGAACTTTCGGCCACAGTCGAACTGTTACAAAGAGAACGTACCGACATCGGAAAGGATGAATAATTATAATTCTTACTATTAAATAATGTAAGGAGAGAGGACTCAAAATTGACCCCTTCAGAATCATGCCTACATTGAAGATCTTGACTATTAAAAATGTCTGAAGAAGTGAATATTCCTGACAAGACTCTAAATTTCAGTTTTCATATACTTAGACATAACTCTCAAAGTCTCTTCGATAAGACAAAATGGTTTCATTACTATTTCAATCCGCAATGAACTTATCCGACATTGTCACTGATTTGTCCGCCTTCATCTTGTCAACTTGACGTGTGAGATGCCCCACGCAGACCATTCTGGTAGAGGCTCATGACGAGCGCTTTTTAAGAGGTTTTTCCTCATCATTGAGATGGGACCTTTCAGATCCGCAAAGTTCTAAACCATCTGTTTTAAATCGACCAGCGTTTATCCCCGAATTGGGAGGTTTAGTGATCTACAATCACATCGAATGCTGAAGAATATACTTGGCAGAAGCTTGACAATAATAAAGTTGTAAAACTTGGAAAATTATTAACTGATCAGTTTGGAGACTGAGATTATTTGATGATGTTTTATTAAGATCGAAATGCAAAATTAACTCTTACTTAATCCATTCTAAGGAAAAAGGATCCAACTTACTTGTGTAAAAGGGCTGAACAGGATCTAAATACGACCTTGATCTGAGCACCACCGAGAGGCCTCAAAGTTAACCCAGCGAAGACCGACAAAGTTAATTACTTAGGTGTAATCCTTGATCGAAAATTTAAATAGAGGCACCACATAAAAGAGAGTATGTGTTATGCGCTATGTAGAAGAACCATTGGCCTGAAATGGGGCCTCAGACCTACTAAGACCCATTGGCTTTATAATAATGTAATTAGACCAATTCTTAGATAAAAAGTGTAAAAAAAATTACTGCAGGGAGTTCTGCGTACATACTTAAGTTTAGGTGTAAGTGGTGCCAAGAGCTCTACTTCAAGCAAGGCTCTGGAATCTTTGCTCGATACTACACCCATTGAAACATATATAAGATATGAGGCGGCCCTTTCAGGCGAACAGCTCGTAACTTAAGGCGAACTATCCAAAAGCGATTACAGCAAACGTCATCATAGGATATTTGTTATACACAATCATCGAACGTGTCCGATCGCATACCAGACACTGAATATGTCGTGAATTTGAAGCACTAATCCCAGATAGTATGGCATGGTCAAGCGGCACATTACCCATAGGAATACGGATACTTCTTAATAGGTAGACAATCACAACACTAGCTTCCAGGCAGGTCCAGGTCCGAGCGGTAGGTGTCGACACCGACAGACAGAAGACATTTAGGACGATATCAGGAGAAAGAGTTTAACCGAATACTATTCCTGTACCAGGCCACTCGGGAGTAGTCGGAAATGAAAGAGCGAATGGACTAGCGTAAAGAAAAGAGAGTTCGAGATAGTTAAGCTGACGAACGCAAAAGCATTCGACGCAACGAGGACTGAATTGAAATTATGCCCTCTTGGAATAATGCAATGGTGGATAGAACCACAAATAATCCAGGGGGTGACCCTAACGAGAAGCCTCCTCAACATGAGCAAGTCAGAGGTTAGTATGTTGTTACGTATTTTGAGTGGACACACTGGATTATAAGCGTAAATATACAAAATTGGACGTGCGGATTCAGGAGAATGTAGAACATGTGGAGAGAACAGTGAAACTCTGGAGTACTTTTTTTGTCATTGTCAAGAATTCATCGAAATAAGATCCAAATATCTTGGGAGTGATATTATTCCAGATATTATATTCCTGAATGGAAAATTCTTAGGAATTACGTCCGGGACACTGAATTTATGAACATCGTACGATACATTCATCGATCACTTTCTACCAACAAACATTTTTTATGAAAAGGCCTAGGTGGATTTCCTTAGAATTGATGTAATATATCCTAACCTCAAAATCTCCGTTATCGTTCTCATATAATATCCCGCCGAAGGGTCTACATTTCAACCAGATTGCTCTTATTTGATTGTAATTAAAGGCCAATTACATAACGGTTTAATTTATGTAATCCAGCCGAGAATATAGAAAAAAAAATAATAATCACAATTCAATTAAACTTACCCAAAACTAAATATGCTGTTATAAGCATTTTATAAATAGAACGATTATCAATCGATACACCATCGCCCGGTATATAATCGCCCAAACCAATGGTGGTCAATGAGATGAAACAATAATAGAAAGCATCCAAAACACCCCATGATGGTTCCAAATAGGCAAAAACAGCAGTGGGTATTGCAAAAAATAATACGGCCACAATTATAACTGTAATGAACAAATAAAATTGAAAATTTCATAAATAAATTACAACATTATAGCAACAAAAAAACAAAATTAAAACAATTACAATGTCCTACATAAGTATGTTTACAATGTACATACATTTACAATATATGCATACATATACCACGAATATACACTTGCAGTGAAATTACAACTTACCAACAATAGTCAAGTGCATGACTCGTATATTAAAGGGTTGATACAAGTGGCCCAGTTTCGAATTGAGTAAGCCCAACAACCAATTGGCTGGTATTAATAATTTCTCAACCATTGCACTTAACAGTACCAATGTCAGTGGTATACCTATGGCGGCATAAATCATGCAAAATATTTTGCCTGTTTGACTTAATGGTGTCACATGTCCATAGCCTGTAAAAGTTGTTATTTTATTTAAAGTGTTATTATTAAATATTTTTATTTGTGCCACTTAAAAAAAAAATAACATTCAAATTCAACTTACCGATAGTTGTCACCACTGTACTGGAGAAAAACAAAGCCTGACCAAAACTCCAGTTCATTTCGTTGGTGGCATTACGCAGTGGTGATATGCCACGATCATTAGCTGTTATAACAGCTTTAAGGAATTCCTCCAAGTCATCATCTGAAAGTCAGTGTGTGGAAAATATAATTAAGAAAAGGATTTGGAACAAATCTCTTTAAATAAAGATCTTTTTAAAAAGGATTTCTTAGAATCTATAGTCTTGACTATAGATCCGTCTATAGTCTTGACTATAGATCAGTGTATAGTCTTGACTATAGATCAGTCTATAATCTTGACTATAGATCAGTCTATAGTCTGTACTATATATCAGTCTATAGTTTGGACTATAGGTCAGTCTATAGTCTGGACTATAGATCAGTCTATAGTCTGGACTATAGATCAGTCTATAGTCTGGACTATAGATCAGTCTATAGTCTGAACTATAGATCAGTCTATAGTCTGAACTATAGACTATAGATCAGTCTATAGCCTGGACTATAGATCAGTCTATAGCCTGGACTATAGATCAGTCTATAGTCTGGACTATAGATCAGTCTATAGTCTGGACTATAGATCAGTCTATAGCCTGGACTATAGATCTGTCTACAGCCTGGACTATAGATCAGTCTAGAGTCTGTACTATAGATCAGTCTATAGTGTGGACTATAGATCAGCCTATAGCCTGGACTATAGATCAGTCTAGAGTCTGTACTATAGATCAGTCTATATTCTTGACTATAGATCAGTCCATAGTCTGGAATATAGATCAGTCCATAGTCTGGAATATAGATCAGTCCATAGTTTGGAATATAGATCAGTCTGTAGTCTGGACTATAGATCAGTCTGTAGTCTGGAGTATAGATCAGTACGTAGTCTGGACTATAGATCAGTCTGTAGTCTGGACTATAGATCAGTCTGTAGTCTGGACTATAGATCAGTCTATAGTCTGGACTATAGATCTGTCTATAGTCTGGACTATAGATCAGTCTATAGTCTGGACTATAGATCAGTCTATAGTCTGGACTATAGATCAGTCTATAGTCTGGACTATAGATCAGTCTATAGTCTGGACTATAGATCAGTCTATAGTCTGGACTATAGATCAGTCTATAGTCTGGACTATAGATCAGTTTATAGTCTGGACTATAGATCATTTTATAGTCTGGACTATAGATCAGTCTATAGTCTGGACTTTAGATCAGTCTATTGTCTGTACTAAAGATCAGTCTATAGTCTGGACTATAGATCAGTCTATAGTCTGGACTTTAGATCAGTCTATAGTCTGGACTTTAGATCAGTCTATAGTCTGTACTAAAGATCAGTCTATAGTCTGGACTATAGATCAGTCTATAGTCTGGACTATAGATCAGTCTATAGTCTGGACTATAGATCAGTCTATAGTCTAGACTATAGATAAGTCTATAGTCTGGACTATAGATCAGTCTATAGTCTGGACTATAGATCAGTCTATAGTCTGGACTATAGATCAGTCTATAGTCTGGACTATAGATCAGTCTATAGTCTGGACTATAGATCAGTCTATAGTCTGGACTATAGATCAGTCTATAGTCTGGGCTATAGATCAGGCTATAGTCTGGGCTATAGATCAGTGTATGGTCTGGGCTATAGATCAGTGTATGGTCTGGACTCTAGATCAGTCTATAGTCTGGACTATAGATCAGTCTATAGTCTGGACTATAGATCAGTCTAAAGTCTGGACTATAGATCAGTCTATAGTCTGGACTATAGATCAGTCTATAGTCTGGTCTATAGATAAGTCTATAGTATGGACTGTAGATCAGTCTATAGTCTGGACTCTAGATCAGTCTATAGTCTGTACTATAGTTCAGTCTATAGTCTTGACTATAAACAAGTTTATAGTCTAGACTAGAGGCTCAATATTGGGATAAAATTCGATATAAGGGCCAACTTCTGAAGTCATTATAGAGTAAATGGTAAACCACCAAGCGCCGCTATAGGGAATATTAGTTCCATGTCTGTTTCAGGAATCACACATTTTATATTTTAATACCAATTTATTTTGAGAAAAAAGTTTAAGATTAAAATTATTACTCAGCAACACTGATTTTAACACAATTTTATTTTTTAAACTTATTGGCCGTTTATTGAACTTGAAAATAAGAAACATATTTTTGTTTGAAATTTGATACTTTTCACAAAGACCTTGCTTAGCTATACATTATCTTCTACAAGTGTCTTTTATACATATATTTTGATATCAAATTTAAATGAGATGTAATAGCTTAATATATTAAAACATTAATTAAGTATTCAATAGACTATATTCATACCATTTATTTGTGGATATTTCATTAGGAAATTATTGCGCAAAATAGTAAGTTCATTGCGTTCGATCAGTTCAACAGGTGTTTCAATTATTTGAAAACTAACCGCACCAAGCATTAGAAAACAAACATAGAGAAAAACGAATGTGAAAAGTAAGGTGCGTTCTTTGCGATAATTCTTAAAAAATTGTACCGGTGAGGCAGACATCAAATGGGTTTCATCATTGTTGTTGTAATAACTGTTAGAGGGACGTAACAAACATATTGAGCCGAGATTAACACGCGTATTTAAACTTAAACCGTTTTGAGGTGCGGAGTTATTGTAAATATTTGGATCGGACATGGATATTAAGCGGCGAAAAGGGGGAGCATTAGAATTGTTTAAAACTGCTCCATTGGTATTATTGCTGATGGCATTACTATCAATTGGTAATTGAGTTTGTTGTTCGGCAATTTTATCTAGATCTTCATAACCTTTTAAAGTCATGTTAAATAGTTTTTCTTTAGATCTTTTTTCTTTTCTTTTAATTTAACTTAATTATTTGCACTTTTCTATTAGGTTAGTATTACAATACAAATTGCTTTTATTTTAGCTTTTCATTTAATTATTATCTTTGTTTGTATTTTAATTCTGATTTAATCCGCTTTCATTCTTTCGCGTTTTACCGTTATTGTTTATTCTGTATTTAAAATTGCACTAAATTTTTATTTTATGAATTGATATGTATAATTTTTTATTCTTAAGTTTTGTATCTCGAACTATAGCTTGTATTCTTCTTCATTCAATTCTAGTTGTGACTACCGACAGTGGCTCTCTGTTTACGAATTCTCTGAATACTAAGAGTGATGATTGTTTTGATATAAAATTCTACTTTATCGCTTAAAAAAAATAATAATTAAGAATTGTTTATTTCTGTGTGTATGTCGTTTTTTTTAATATTGCAGTTAAATATGAGACAAACAGAACAAACAGTTTGGGGCTAATCACAGTTTAGGATTTTCTTATCACTTATCTACAGAAATTAGATTTTCGAAATTTGTTTTTCGAAGTCAGTTTTCCATAGAAATTTGCTTTTCAAAGTTACTTTTGTATAGAAATTGGATTTTCGAAGTCACATAGAGAGATTTTTTTTAAAGAAGTTTTTTCTTTAAAGTCTCTTTTCGATAAAAATTTGTTATTCGAAGACAATTATTTTTTCGACTTTTCTAAAGAAATTTGTTTCAATGTCACTTTTCTATAGACGTATGTAGGTCTTTCGAAGTCACTTTCTATGAAAATTTGTCTTTTGAAGTAATTATACCCTACACCACTTTAGTGGGGAGGGTATATTAGATTTGTGCTGATGTTTGTAACATACAAAAATATTCGTCCAATCGGCTTAGAATCGTTTTCTGAGTCGATTAAGCTACGTCCGTCCGTCCGTCTGGCTGGCTGTCCATGTAAACCATAATTGGATGAAATTTGGCACGCACGTTTTATTTGACCCAAGGACGAAGCCTATTGAAAATGGTTAAAATCGGTCCATTATTTCACCTAGCTCCCATAGAACAGAACCCCCCCGAAAAGGTCTTCTGAGCTCATAATTATGTTAAATATACAGATATATCGATAAAATATGGCACAACTAAGTTTTATAGATGTCTTGATGACCCTGCCAAATTTCATAAAGATCGGGCCCCATTTGACCCTACCTCCCATACAAAGTCCCCTTCAGAAAATTACTTGAATGTCCCAAATTAACTTATAAACACAAATATCGCGATGAAATTCAGCACAATAAAATATTATATAAATATAAATATATTCACATAATTTTATCGGGCTTGGTCCATATTTGCCCCTAGCCCCCATATCTCTCTCTCTTTCAGAAAATTAGTTTTTCATCCATAAATTGCTTAAATGTATCGGAACAAGGGAATATTGAAGGTAAATGCTTTATTATGAAAAATAAATCACATTTAATATTCATAACTGGTGTAGGGTATCATATGGTCGGCCACGCCCGACTATACTTTCTTACTTGTTTTTCTGTTGGAATTAGTTTTTCGAAGACACTTTCTATAGAAATTGTTTTTTCGAAGTAACTTTCCTATTGAAATTTTCTTTTGAATTCACTTTCTTCAGGTTTTCAAAATCACTTTTTTTTTGATTTTTGAAGGCACTTTTTTATAGAAATTTGATTTTCGAAGTCACTTTTTTTATAAAAATGTTGTTTTTCGAAGTCATTTTTGTATTGCAATTAGTATTTAAAATCAATTGTATTTGTAATTTGTAGTTATTTAGTTAGTTAGTTAGTTAGTTAGTTAGTTAGTTAGTTAGTTAGTTAGTTAGTTAGTTAGTTAGTTAGTTAGTTAGTTAGTTAGTAGTAGTTAGTTAGTTAGTTAGTTAGTAGTTAGTTAGTTCGTTAGTTAGTTAGTTAGTTAGTTAGTTAGTTAGTTAGTTAGTTAGTTAGTTAGTTAGTAGTTAGTAGTTAGTTAGTTAGTAGTTAGTTAGTTAGTTAGTAGTTAGTTAGTTAGTTAGTTAGTTAGTTAGTTAGTTAGTTATTAGTTAGTAGTTAGTTAGTTAGTTAGTAGTTAGTTAGTTAGTTAGTTAGTTTAGTAGTTAGTTAGTTAGTTAGTAGTTAGTTAGTTAGTTAGTTAGTTAGTAGTTAGTTAGTTAGTAGTTAGTTAGTTAGTTAGTTAGTAGTTAGTTAGTTAGTTAGTTAGTTAGTTAGTTAGTTAGTAGTAGTAGTTAGTTAGTTAGTTAGTTAGTTAGTTAGTTAGTTAGTTAGTTAGTAGTTAGTTAGTTAGTTAGTTAGTTAGTTGTTAGTTAGTTAGTTAGTTATTAGTTAGTTAGTTAGTTAGTAGTTAGTTAGTTAGTTAGTTAGTTAGTTAGTTAGTTAGTTAGTTAGTTAGTTAGTTAGTTAGTAGTTAGTTAGTTAGTTAGTTAGTTAGTAGTAGTTAGTTAGTTAGTAGTTAGTAGTTAGTTAGTTAGTTAGTTAGTTAGTTAGTTAGTTAGTTAGTTAGTTAGTTAGTTAGTTAGTTAGTAGTTAGTAGTTAGTTAGTTAGTAGTTAGTTAGTTAGTTAGTTAGTTAGTTAGTTAGTTAGTAGTAGTTAGTAGTTAGTAGTTAGTTAGTTAGTTAGTAGTTAGTTAGTTAGTTAGTTAGTGTTTAGTTAGTTAGTTAGTTAGTTAGTTAGTTAGTAGTTAGTTAGTTAGTTAGTTAGTTAGTAGTTAGTTAGTTAGTAGTTAGTTAGTAGTTAGTAGTTAGTTAGTTAGTTAGTTAGTTAGTAGTTAGTTAGTTAGTTAGTTAGTTAGTTAGTAGTAGTTAGTTAGTTAGTTAGTTAGTTAGTTAGTTAGTTAGTTAGTTAGTTAGTTAGTTAGTTAGTAGTTAGTTAGTAGTAGTTAGTTAGTAGTTAGTAGTTAGTAGAGTAGTTAGTTAGTTAGTTAGTTAGTTAGTTAGTTAGTTAGTAGTAGTTAGTTAGTTGTAGTAGTAGTTAGTTAGTAGTTAGTTAGTTAGTTAGTTAGTTAGTTAGTTAGTTAGTTAGTTAGTTAGTTAGTAGTTAGTTAGTTAGTTAGTAGTTAGTTAGTTAGTTAGTTAGTTAGTTAGTTAGTTAGTTAGTTAGTTAGTTAGTTAGTAGTAGTTAGTTAGTAGTTAGTAGTTAGTTAGTTAGTTAGTTAGTTAGTTAGTAGTGTTAGTTAGTTAGTTAGTTAGTTAGTTAGTTAGTAGTTAGTAGTTAGTTAGTAGTTAGTTAGTTAGTTAGTTAGTTAGTAGTTAGTTAGTAGTTAGTTAGTTAGTTAGTAGTTAGTTAGTTAGTTAGTTAGTTAGTTAGTTAGTTAGTAGTTAGTTAGTTAGTAGTTAGTTAGTTAGTTAGTTAGTTAGTTAGTTAGTTAGTTAGTTAGTTAGTTAGTAGTTAGTTAGTTAGTTAGTTAGTAGTTAGTTAGTTAGTTAGTTAGTTAGTTAGTAGTTAGTTAGTTAGTTAGTTAGTAGTTAGTTAGTTAGTTAGTTAGTTAGTTAGTTAGTTAGTTAGTTAGTTAGTAGTTAGTAGTTAGTTAGTTAGTTAGTAGTTAGTTAGGTAGTTAGTTAGTTAGTTAGTTAGTTAGTTAGTTAGTAGTTAGTTAGTTAGTTAGTTAGTAGTTAGTTAGTTAGTTAGTAGTAGTAGTTAGTTAGTTAGTTAGTTAGTAGTAGTTAGTTAGTTAGTTAGTAGTTAGTTAGTTAGTTAGTTAGTTAGTTAGTTAGTAGTTAGTAGTTAGTTAGTTAGTTAGTTAGTTAGTTAGTTAGTTAGTTAGTTAGTTAGTAGTAGTTAGTTAGTTAGTTAGTTAGTTAGTTAGTTAGTTAGTTAGTTAGTTAGTAGTTAGTAGTTAGTTAGTTAGTTAGTTAGTTTAGTTCGTTCGTTAGTTCGTTTCATTAATTTCGTTAGTTAGTTCGTTTAGTTGTTCGTTGTTCGTTTGTTCGTTCTTTGTTAGTTCGTTTAGTTAGTTAGTTTTTCGTTCGTTGTTAGTTCGTTTCGTAGTTTATTTTGAAAGGTTTGCAGACCAATACCTTAGTTCGAAGAATATCTCTAGACTCTATCGGACCTTGTTTTGCGCTAAAATCCCAATTTGGTTGCTTATCTACTAAATACAAACTTCTCTTATCGCAAAACTGGTGATTAATCCCAAATGTCTTCCATTACTATATGATAAAATTTGTGTGTTGTCATCATTTATTTTTCGATGTTTTTTTTTTCAGTTTTTCTATTTTAAATATACAAATCAGGTTCAGTAAAAAGATAAGACTCTACAACAAATTGTGTTGGAACGAATTTTTGTACAAAGATCAGTCATATTTTTAAGATGAAGGCCTGAGTGTCAACGGTGTAGACAGGTCTTTCAATTCTTGGTAAATTTGTTTTTCTTTCATTCGTTTTTTTTTATCAACAAACTAATATTTAATTTATTTAGAAATGTTCAAAGGGTTTATTTAGATTGAAACTAGTTAAACTGAAAAAAAACTAAAGAATTTATATAATAATATTTGGTAAATAAAGTTTGCGGTTATTCTGTTTAGATTTATGAAACTATGGATGGAATGTGCAAAATATTTATTTAAGTCTATGTTGATATTTGGATAAGAGTAAAATCTTTATGTTCCGGGGAATATTTGATTAGTTGTGGTTTCTAAGTGAAAATTAAAGATAAAAAATACTATTCAAAATATTTGTTTAGGGCAAACAATTATTACCTGTTTTTAACTAAAAAGTAATACTCCAGAAACGACAATGATCATGCAAGAGACTTGTCCTAAAATATCTTTGAACCCATAAGGCTTAACAATTCTATTTAATCTCAAATTTTTGTCAATAAATTCTATAAACAATACCCGTACACTACAATTCCAACTAAACTGCAGTACTCATGTCATTTATGTTTCTGACATTTGATTTATGTTTTTGACAAGTGACCTTTGTTTTTAAATACTAACAGCTCTACAACTTCAATATATTCGTGCCAAACATTAATGGGTTAAAATAAAAGTTAAAAAACAAAACAATAAACTTTAGACTTCAAATTTTGTTTGGTCACGTTCTAGATTTAGTGCAAAAATAAAATTTAAGCAAAACTTTTGCTTACACTTTTACAAATGTTTTTTTTTTTTTTTTAATCTTTGAATGTTACAATTTCTAATCATTGATTTCGGTTTGTGCATTTCTTGTTATGAATAGAGCTGATTTACGATTACGTGCCCCAATTTAACTCATCGATCACTTGAAATCATTACAATTTATTATCTTGCTTACGTGTTGCTCATTGTTGTTGTTGTTGTTTGTGCTGTTGTGTTAATAGCATAAAATTAATGGAGTTAA